AAGTCTTAAGAGCTGAGGTGTTTGGAATCAATAGAAATAGATATATGTATATATAATATTTATATTACCTTTATAACATTTACATAATATAAAATATATGTATATATACATACATACATAACATATCTATACAAACATATAGATAGATAATTCCTAGAAGAATTTTTAATTTTTTTATATGAATAACAAAAGAATTTATTGAGAATTTCTAAATGTATACATCTCCATTTTATAATATATATAAATCAAGGTCCTGCTTCCAAATTAGGGTAGCTGTATCCCCAGGGACATGCAGTAGAAGGCTACGGTGGACGAAGTGCACAGGACAGGTCAGATCTTACAGGAATGATTTTACGTTGTGGGACAAAACATAAAAACATTTTTGTACTGAAACAACTGAAGACATCTTCGTGGAATAAAATAGAAAATCCACACATATTTTTAAAATCAAGTATGTGACTTCAAAGAAATTTTGGACTAGGTGTTCCTTTCTGCCAATGCAGTTCAAAAGGTAGGAGGCAGGGAAGGGACCAAAGCTACCTTGTTTTCGTGTAATCTGTGAAATCCTTTAAACAGAGGGCTGCAGGAGTCAGGAATCCAGTAACAAATCAGACACAAGGTGGAGACCTGAGAGAGTCAGGAATGGCCTGCTGCCTCCATTTGTTCCTGTGAGTCTGGAGAGCAGGAAGATGGGATGTGGAAGAGACGGGCCCAGCATCTTGTGCATTCTGACCTGGAGCCTGAACCCAGGTAGAAATAGCTGGTTCAGTCTCACCAGAGAAAACCTGTCCTGGCTGGTGTCCCTCATCTGGTGTAGCCATGACTCCCCAGCACATGGAGTGTGTTACAAAGAGAGGCAGCCTCTGTGCCAGCCAGAGATGTGAGCACGTGATCATGTGAGTTTGATTTCCCAGATACCACCGTGGGAGCCCAAAACCACTTTGCTCCTCTCCACTCCCCATACCTCCCCTGCGAGCTCATTCTCCATCCCCAGATACAGTTTTTCAAAACCACCCCAGAGAATTTGATCTGAAGTATCTTGATTAGCACTGGAATGAAAATTAAGCCACTCAGGTAAAGGCTACGTGGGACCTCTCTGTATTATTTCTTACAACAGCATATGAATCTGCAATTACCTCAAAAAGAAAGTGTAATTGAAAAAATCAGGCTACTCAGAATGTACTGTGAGAGGAAGAAAGAAAGAACCCCCACTCCTCCACAAAAAAGACCCACCCTGAAAATCAACTTCCTCAGTCAAGTGCTACCTATATATAAATGCCATTTTGTGCCAACAGGAAGGGCAAGCAACAGAAAATGACACCTATTTCTTCTCCTTTTTGCTTACCAAAGTGACAAGTTTCTTAAGAGCAGCTGTAAAGCACATATATGTTTAGCAGTATAAAGAAGAACTGGTGAGAACCGTTTGCCCCAGAGAGGGGAACAGGGCAGTGCCCGGGAGAGAGAGGAAGATACGCCTTTCACAACAGATTCTCTTGGACTTCTGTGTTTTATATTGTGTACATATTACCCAGCCCCAAATATCACTCCCACGATCTTACATAGCCTTTGAAGGTCTAGCACAAGCATGACCGTTTCTCACGCATTTCTCAATAGGATTTCATCTCATCCTGTGTGTTCCTCCTGGCACAGTGGTTCTCAGCTGAAAAACCTGAGAGCTTTTTTCAAAATGCCCATGCTCAGCACCGCCCCCCCCACCTGCTGATTGAGAATCTGGGAGGGGAGAGGGTCAGGATGGGTGCTTTTAGAAAACTCCTCAGGTAATGTTCATGCCTACTCAGGATCCAGAGCTTCCACCCTGCCACTTTATGGAGCCAAGATTCAAGCACTCACCCTAAAAGTAAACACTGAACAACTGGTTACCAAAAAAACCAACACTTTCACACCTTTTATCTCATTTTGTCTTCAGAGCAACTCTGAGCTGTCCGGAAGAGGAAAGGGAGTGAAGTGCTAGGAGTTATCAAAGGTCCCTTGAGCTTTTTGGTTCTGTATTTTGTGTTTGCCCATCTCCCCTGAGAAGGCAACCAGTGTTTATATCCCCTCACCCGGACCCTAGCGCCGCCCTTCGCATGCAGGTGATGCTGAACCGCAAGTTCTGGGCAAAGTGAAGAAGGAGAGCCCGCGGGGCAGCGGGAGCGCTGCCACCCAGACTCCTGGCGCCTCACCCTCCTGAGGCCTCGGATCCGTCTCTCCCTGCCCGTTTCCCCCTAGTCAGAATCACTTCAGGGGCATGTTCAAGGCGCAGGCTCCTGGGCTCCGGGCCTACAGAGCCAGGACCTTTGGGAATGACATTCAGGGATGCCTAGTTTTGGTTTTTGTATTTTTCTGTGTCTGTGGGACACAGTTGGCCGTCTTAACTATTTGTAAGTATACAGTTCAGCAGCATTAAGAACATACACATTGATCTGCAGCCGTCGTCACCATCTGCAGAACTTTTTCAACTTCTCAGACTGAAACTCTGTACCCATTAAGCAGTAACTCCCCATTCTCCTTTCCCCACGCCCCGAGGAAACCCACATTTCACTTTCCTGTCTGTGGGTCTGACCACATTAGATACCTCACTTAAGTGGAATCATGCAGTATTTGTCTCTTTGTCACTGGTTTATTTCACTTAGCATAATGTCTTCAAGGTTCATCCACACTCTACCATATGACAGGATTTCCTTTTCAGAGCTGAATAATATTTCATTCTATGCATATGCCACACTTTGCTTATGCATTTATCCACGGAAGGACATTCAGTTTGCTTTCGTTTCTTGGCTATTGTGAATAATCCACAATAAACATGGATGTGCAAATATCTTTTTGAGATCCTGTTTTCAATTTTTTAAATATATATGCCCAAAACTAGGATTGCTGGACCCTAAGCATGTTTTCTGTACAGGCTGCAGGGTCTGTCTCACTGTCCCCTAGGACAGATGCTGTCGCCCACCTCTTTGGCCTAGTGACCTATACACACAGTGGTTATTGCTCACACACTAGTTTCTTGAAATAAGACAGCATTTATTATGCAGAAATTAAGTTTTCTGCTAAATGGTATGTGTGAATGCCAGTAGACTAGGCAAATTCTCCTTTGAGATCACCCATGATCCCTTTTCCACTATCTTCCACCTCCAGGAACAACTCCCTTTGTCCACACGTCTAACCAGGAAGAAGATAAAACTGTTTCAGTGATGTGAGTCATTTGAATTTTATGTTCAAATACATGAAAAAAAGTACAACTTGTTTGAGTCACACTGAGAGGAAAGAAGGACATTTTAACCTCAACTAAACTAACAAAATTGTTTGTCCACAACTGGAAACAATTAAGGTTTTTACATACAGTATTACGTGTCTATGCACCTCTCTGATGATTTATTAAGGGATTCGTTCCCTCTGCCATTCTTCTGCCCAGTCCCTAAGCACTGCCGTTTCCTACTTTTCTGGTAAATGCATCTTCTCGCTTTCCGTCGGGCTCAGGCCCTCTCCATTCTCCACTCTGTGAAATCACCCCTGGAGGGAGCTCCGTGATGTCACTCTTGCCTTCTACAATCCAGGCTCTGCACTGGCACCAGACAGGTGACTCCCAAATACTACTGACCATGTCCCACTCTGCCTCTAACCCTTCAATATCTTCCCTTGGTCACACCATCCAGCTTTGAAAAAAATCCCAATAACCTGGCAAGAGGAAGGTTGAATATCTCCTTAGCATTGTTAAGACCTAAGATGAGCTGCCCAGTTCTTACTTTAAAACATGTATCAAGCCCTGGCTGGTGTTGGCTCAGAGGTTAGAGTGTCAGCCAGTGCACCAAAGGGTCTCGGGTTCGATTCCTGGTCAAGGGCACCTACCGGTGTTGCAGGTCAATTGATCCCCGGCCCCAGCAGGGATGAGTGTGGAAGGCAACCAGTCCATGTGTCTCTCTCACAACAATCTCCCTCCCTCCTTCCCTCCCTCCTTCC